ACACTTGAGCATATCGTCGACTTGTTCGTTGATAATATGGCGCTCTTCCGCTGAAACTTGATATGGTAGTTGGCATAAGGGAGCATGAGTACCGGTGTCAATGTAGTGCGTGATGTTCGCTGTGCGACCCGAAGATGGTTGAGCGCAATCGAACGCAGAACGGAACTTTCGAAGAAGGGACAAGAGTTCGCGTCTTTGTGTCGGCGATAGTTCAGCGGCAACAGAGGGCTGGAATGAGTCTGGCGCGAGCAGTGTGGCCACAGGTGGCGCATGGCATTGAGCTGGAGGTGAGGTGGTTGTTCGGCAAACTCCAGAGGGCACAAGAGGTCAACGTCTTGTATGCTACCCAAATATTCTCCGCGAAGTAAGGTAACTGGCGACGATAGCGAGTTCGCAACGAGCATGGCGGTAGCACCGGATTCCACGGTGAGTATGGCAAAGGGCAGGTGTAGGCTACGGCGGGTAAACACGTCAGACGGAGTGAACAAAACAGTTCCGGCAGGAGCGGCCCTACAGGTCAGGGTTAGAAGGGTGGATGTTCTCGGTGCTACTTCTGTGTCTGCAACAACGACAAGTTTGTAAGCTTCAGAAAGAGAATCTACCAAACAAGAGCTTGGCAGCGGTGTAAGGGCAACTTCTGCACGTAAGCAATTTATGATGGCCCGATGACAGAAAGTGCCATCCAAGAATGACTTCGTGGGAGCAAATGACTTCGTGGGAGCATGATGCCACCCCAAAAAATTCAATGGCATAAAGTTCACCTTGGATAATGACACGTGCAGTGCACAGAGCTGTAGGTTCTATGCACTGCGAGTTGGCCGTGTGGAGCATCAGGCCCGAAAGAGGCGTCGTCACCTTTTTGAACTTGCGGCATAAGGTCTCACAGATAATAGAAACGGCGGCTCCTGTGTCGATAAGCGCTTGTGCGGCGGTCCCCTCAACATTGACGTCGATAACGTTTTGCGGCGAGAAAGATGGAGGCCTTAAGCAGTTCGAATGGTATGCAGCTGTTGCCTCCGGAGCCGCAGTGATCAGTTTCCCTCTTCCGTAGCAGGTCGGCAACGCATAGGTGACAGGGAGCGTCGTCGGGGCGTTGGTGACCGATGGTTTGCGAGGTGTCGATGACCGTCAGTGGTGTACCTTGATGGCGTCCTAGCCGACGCAATTGGCCTGCCCACGGTGTCAACTGGAGGGGGATCTCGGCGACAGTGGCGGGCGACGTGTCCAGCGATACCAGAGGCGAAACAGATGGGCCTATTGTCCGGCGTCCTCCAAGCGTCTGCTCGGCGGTAAAATGGAGCGGAAGATCTCGCGTAGGGATACGGCGCAGCAATTGGGGTTGTCGGCACGACATAGGGCAGCGTGGCAGGTTGAGCATATGGCATACGCTGTTGCGTAGGCTGAGCAGCAACGGCGGCGTATGTGAGAGGCGTAGCGACAGGTGGTTGCTGATGCATCGGTGGAAGGGCCACAGCGACTTGGGTTCGAATGGCGTGTTGGAGGTTCGGTGCCAAAGCTTGCGCGGGCTCATGTGTCAGTGGCAGTAGTGACAGCTGGCGCGCTACCTTTTCGCGGACGAAGCCCTTGATTGTCGAAACCAGCGGCTGCTGATCGGCAGGATGGGCAGCTAGGTGCAAGCTTGCGAGCGTGTCTGGCGTCGTGAGGGCTTGACGAGAGAAACGAGCACAGTAATTGGGGGGGGATTTCTCGCAAGCAACATCTGAAAGGTGCCGTCGTCAATGCCTTTCAAAATGTGCCTGATTTTTTCTTCCTCAGGCATGGTAAAGTTGACGCGGTTGCATAGATGCAACACATCTTCAATGTAGCCCATGTAGGTCTCGCCTGGTTGCTGCGCACGGTGACGTAAACGGTGCTTGGCTTGAAGCTTGTGTGCCGCAGGTCGTCCAAAGACGTCCGTGATAGCAGTCTTGAATGCAGACCACGTAGGAATGTCAGCTGCGTGGTTATTAAACCACAGTTGCGTGGTGTCCGCAAGGTAGAATGTGATGTAGCCCAGCTTACTTGGGTCGTCCCATTTGTTACTTGCACTGACTTTGTCGTACCTCGCCAACTAATCTTTGACGTCCGACTCAGTGGAGCCCGTGAAGATAGGAGGGCCCCGTTGAGGATACACGGCGCCGCAAGTGACGTGGACGGTCGAGGGTCCCACCTGGAGAGGCAGCTCGGTGGCCATGTTCGTGTCACGTAGAGGGGGAAGCTTACGGGAGCGAAGTTCCAGGTTTGTACGGGAGTCCACACACCTCCACCAGATGTCACGAGTTTATTTACGTATAGACCTACTGGAAGGCCAAGGAACGCCAGAAGAGCAAGGAACGTCAACAGGCCAAAAATACAAAACAAGCGCAAGCTCTGGTTGCGTGTGTGCACCAACGCTGTGGCTTGCCGTTTCTTGCTTCTTCGTCGTCATTCGCATAGTTTTCTACAATAACAATATGTGATAAAGTGAACAGCACAATTCCTGTGCAGTCTGGGCATTGTGGATTTATTTCCGACTTGTAATGGTGGAGTTGGCCCCGTGATTGGTACAATCTCGTTTGTAGCATGCAAAAGGCTACCTCTTGCGTACGTTCGAGCTTTGTATGTGCTAAGGAGTATTTGCTTCTGTTGTTTCGGTAGTGAGAGGTGGTTTCGTGGAAGGTGAGTAAAGGGTCATTATATTGTACGTCTGGGCCCAGCTCTTCGGTGGCTGATTAAACGTCGCGTCGGGGGAATTCGCGTGCTCGATCATGAGCAGTTTCATTGAGGTTGCGGTTGCTGTGAGTGGACGTCTTTGTCCATGTGGGCAGGGAACCAAGAGCGTTAGTGCAAGCCCGTGTACTTGTGTGTTTGTAAAAGGTGGGCGATATTGCCGGTTTCGTCAGCTCGAATGATGGCGCAACAGTCTGGGAAGACGCTGGCGTGTGAGGGGTTGATCATCGCTAAAGCTATAGCAACCTACTTGTTTGTTGCGCTCGTTGCTAGCCTAACCGAGGTGGCTGCGCATAGGGCTCTGTGGCTATCTACTACTGTGAGTGCAAAGGTGTAGAAGTCGCTGTATTGCGCCGCATTGACAAATATGTTGAGTTGTGATTTGCGCCGGTACGGTCGAGGATCAAGCGAGCGCGGGCCAGGCGTCTACTTTTTTTGCGTTGCGGGTGGACATATTGTACGAATGGGGTTAATATGTGTGTAGGTGGGACAGCTCTCAGGAGAGTTGGTGTGCGTTCAAAATAGGGGTGTGGGGATATGCCAGCCACGCTTAGAAATTGGCTGCCTGCCTTGGAGGAAGAGAGGCGGAGCACTTGGGCTGTGGTCTGGTCCTCGGTGTCTTCATCGATGTGATTGTGCATACTTAGTTGGTCGAGACGGGAAGTACTCATGTTTTGAGGTAAACCAAAGACTTGCGTAATGCTTTTGCGAATAAGTGTGTTTAGTTTCGTCTTTTCCACTTTTGTCCAATTGTTGGCAAAGGGGACGTAATTGATGTGGCTCATTAGGAACGCACGGTGTATGTGCAAAAGATTGTCCCCTCCGAGGCCTCGTCTGCGACCCGAGAATCGCTGAATGAGACGGAGCATGTTTTCCATTTTAGATGTGGTGTGTGTTATCATTCGTGAATGGCAGCCGGTGGCCTCGACTGGGAGGCCGAGGATGTTTATGGAGTCAACGTGAGATATTCGTTGCCTGTCTTTGGCTTGTATTGCTATGGTTAGCTTTTATAAGGGCGTTAAATTATGAACACCTTGGCGAGATTTTCGGTACAGTAGTAATATTAATTTCGTGGGCGACAGTCGCAGTCGAGTGTTTTGTAGGTAGGCTTCCGTGGTATCGAGAGCAGTTTGAAGGGCCTGCTTTAACTCCCTCCAGGGCATCATATGGTGATGTCATCTGTGTATATAGCATGGGTTATGTGAGGGATATTGCGTCTCCCACTGCTTCATGCTGCGATCTATTGCCAATCTAGGTCCTTGTAAAAGATTCCAGGCATACATTCGTTCTTTCCTACAAGACTGAAAAGCCCAGCTATGAGTTTTGCAACTTACATCCGACAAATACACATTAGGTGCCAACGGGACATCACAAGGGGCAGACATTTTTTCACAGAGTGAAGGCCAAAAATTTTCTTACCGAACATGTAAATTTTCACAATAAAATGTGGAACAGTTCTTAAGATATAAAGCCGAAATCATGGCAACCAGTTTACCTTACCATGTCCCATTATATTCAATGAATGCTGTGGTGCTTACCGTGTGCAGTGGTATGATGGTGTTTAAACACAGTAGGTTTAACTTTTCTGTATTCTGGCATTTACTATGTTGAAGAAACTTACAAGCTTTGTGGCACCATATTCAATCAGAGCAGTCTCGTATAAACCTGTAGGAATGCTACATAAATGTTGCATAATCTTATAACTCATACAGGATTATTGAATGTGGGAGCATTGCTAACACGTCATTGGAGCTTCGTTCCGCAGTATCCCGTGAGCAAGAGTGAATGTACTCTCGGTGTCGAGTTAAATGTGAACAGAGGCAAGCATCAGCAATGGTATGGTGTGTGCTCTCCAGTCATCACTATGGACATGCGCAGTGCTGTGTGCCTGTCAATTGCGATGACTGGACTGTGCACACTATACATTGCTAATGCTTGCCATTGTCTGCATCTCATTTGACAGTGCCTATGAAATGCTGGGAAGGGCCAATCACAGTGTGATGCACCTGACCACAAGTGTACAAAAATATCTGCGTAATGTACAGAGACTTCATTGATTCAATCTAAACTGAAGCGTGAAAGTTGTGCATCCAGCACGTAGAAGGCCAGCTTCTAATAAGAGGGTAGGTAAGCTTTTACTTAGTGCCTAAAATCGGAGCACAGATCTTTCCCTAACATTGATAAAGAATAAGCGATGTGAAGTTTTCGAGGTGTGGCCGGGATACATGGCTGTGCCCATGCCTCAGAGGTCTGTAATATGAAAAGCTGCTTTTTTCTTTGCATGACATTAGCTGCTGATGGTGGATCGCAAGCTGGCTGAAGTGCATCAGGTGCTCAGTCAGGCTGGACAGCTTGTGGAAGCATGGCAGGGCTCCACCCAGCACAAGGAAGCACTCAAGGTGTTTTTCCTCGTCTTGCAGGTCTGTCACTACCTGTCTGCGGGGCAGGTACGTTGCTTTCATCACCACCTCACTGTTGCAGTGTAGATACTTCATGTGTAATGACTGTGAAACAATCATGCCATGCATTATTGCATATGGGTAGCAGTAAAAGATGTGTTTTTCTTTAAAAGCACGTTATGGTGCGATGATGTGAATATCATACATTTGTTAGTTTATTCCTCCGGGGTTCATCAATGCTTGTGTATAGTTTGCTGAACCATAGAAATACAAATGTAATATCAGAACAAAACAATTTTGCGATAGGCACTGGTAATCTGGTGGCTAGAAAATGCTGACAAATACAAACTTGTCTCCTATTTGAGTCTTCTCGCAGAGGTGAATTGCGCCAATTCGATACAATTCTCCATTTGTCTGCTAAGCTGCGCCAAAACCATGACCTATCGCCAAATTGTGCCACGCTGCGCCAAAATGCCTGACCAGTCTCAAAATTTTCTCAGTTACGCATTATTCAGTCAGAAATGGAGGCCACTAGTAATTTGCACCATCAATCAATCAGTCCAGGGATCCAGGTGCGCAGATCATACTGGCGAAATGCGATCAACCAGATAAAGTAACAATGCCGCACGCCCATCGCGCTGCTGAGCGCAGCATATCTACCGGCGGGACGAATTTCGTTGCTGTAGCCAGCAACACTTCGTGGAAAGTATGAATTTCCTAGTCTGCAAATGCAGCTATGACATGTTAGGAACTAAAGCTGGTAGCGTATGCCACTGTGTGCAGGAACGAATGTGACGTGCTGGGAACGCCAGCATTGCCGGTGACTACGTTTGTTGCCATAGCAACGGCACTTGCTATATCTGTTGCGGTCGCCAGGCCGACGGGCGCGTGTCGTTGTTACTTTATCTAGTCAAGCGTGCCTTTCAAACGAACCGAGAGTTGGGCCCTAAACTTAAAGCCATCGTGCAAAAAAAAAAAAAAAAAAAAAATGGGCGGAGGGAGGTGTAGGGGTTTGAAAATTTCTTGGCCTTGTTCTAACCAACGCAGAACCCCACTTAAGCTTCTGTGGCCTGCGGAAAAGCAAGATTTTGGAGGGGCTGTTAGCACTATTCGCAGAAAATAGCAGTTTGTTCAGTTACTCACGCATGTGTACGCCGCCTAATTGTGAGTACTAATATAATTGCTGACGTCTAAAAAAAAAAGTTACTGGCAATCATTTTGAGCACTGTATGACGTTTCTGGAGCCCTAAAAAAAATAAACTCTGCACCAGTTTTTTTCTTTCTTTTTCTTTTTTTGCTGCTCTTATTTCTCAGTTTTACGAATGTCCCGAATCGCAAGATCGTCAGCTTGGCAGATTTATATTTGAGTCCTCAGAGTCTGTCAAAGGATTGGACAGACATGGCAAATACTAATGTGGACTTAATCATTGTTTACTGTGTGGGGTAGTTCAACATACTACTTTTGTTCAACAAGCAGTGTTCATATTCTCTCAGCATGGTTTAGGTAGGTTGAATGGTTTCAAATTTTTTTCTAAATGTAAGCCGTCGTTTTCATACTGCTCCAAATTGAGTCTTTCGTGATAAAAAATGAATGTTTCTTTAGCCGTAACATGCTCAAAATTGAATTTTAGGGCTCCAAAAGTAGTATATTAAGGCCATTTCACGTGACACAAAAAGTAGCGATTTTCAGTGTGCGAATTCGTTCGCAGCGAAAAAAAGGGCAGTTCGCTCCCGCCGCAGCGGTCCGCGGCGAGCTTCCAACATGTTGGAAATTTTTGCTCTAATTGCAGTGGCAGGAGCAATTTTTGGTTGGGACCTGTCGAAATAGGGCTGCTCCGGCCAAGCCATCGGAATAGAGTCGACGTGTTTGTTTTGGTAATGACCGATGCTGTGCATTTTAAAAATAATTCAGATTGGAAAGTGTTATTAAATGACGAAACAAGCAGGCCCTTTGTTATCGTTCACGGTAACTTCATGATATCATATTGCTCATATTATTACGTTACATTCGTGTCTGTCACAATGAGCGGTGGCAAAAATTTGCCGCTTCAGTCAAAGAGCGAAAATCGCGGACCTTTCGCGGTCCATGTGAAACGAAACCGCCATTAGCAGCGGTTGTGAACAGCGCGAATGGAGCGAACAGAACAATTTTTTTTCGCTGTAATTGCGGCATGTGAAACAGCCTTTACTGCTACGAAAACTGCTCCAAATTGTATTTCGGCTGTGGCACCCCTGTGCTTGATGACGGTACAAGATGTGTTCAAGCAAAACCAACACTTGTGATTTTTTTAAACCATTATTTATTGTGAACCATTAAATGACAGTTGGTATTGTTCACAGGTGAAAAGTGTAAAACCTTGCCTGAAACAGCTTCAGCAAGGCATTCAGACTATCACATCATTGCACTCGGATGAGGAGACTGTGCCATCAAATCCTGGCGACATGTTTCACTGGATGCCCAAGGAGCACATGTGTGTGCTAGTATACTTGGTCAGTGGTCTTTCTGTCCCGTAACTACTACTTTTGATTTTGTAGGAAGCATTCTTTAGGGAGGACACTGCTCTTAAAAAAAGTTTATTTATTCATTTGAGTGAAAAGGTTTTTTTTGTAACGAAAACCATTCACCATAGTAGTCTAGTGGCTAAGGCACTCGGCTGCTGACGTGCAGGTTGCGGAATCGAATCCCGACTGTGGTGACTGCATTTTTGTTGACCGTGAAGATGCTTGAGGCCCTTGTGGTTAGATTTAGGTGCACATTAAAGAATCCCAGGTGGTCGGAATTTCCGGAGCCTTCCACTACGGCGCCTCTCATAATCGTATTGTTACCAATTTATACTGTGCCTGCTACTATGAAGAAGCATTTATTTAAGGTGGACCTGTGGCCATTAATTAAAAACTAAATGGTTGGCAAAAATGTTCCTTGCTCACTATTTTGAACTTCGACGGTTCTCTTTGTTTCCCACCATCAAGTCTCGTGCTGGTGCCGTGCTGTAGCATGGTGGCACGTTCAGGGTGGCGTTCCGTGGTGTGCTTTCCTTGCTACTTGTGTGGTTAGTTCTATGAACACTGTATGCTGCACGCAGGGGTGCAACAGCTGCGCCAGTTCGGCCAATTTGATGCAATTCCCCACATCCTGCCGAGCTTTGCCAAAACCATGAAATTGGCCTAAATTGCGCCACCCTACGGCAAAAAGCTTAACCAGCCTCAACATTTTCTCAGTTGCACTAGTTTCAGCAAGAAATGGGGGCTATGTAGGTCACCTGTAGTTTGCGTCATAAATTATAATCTAGGGATCCAGGCGCGTAGACACACCCTACACCATGGACACTCCCAAAATGCTATCGACCAGATAAAGTAACAATGCCATGCGCCAATCAGTCCACTGATTCCAGCCGTTATCTATTGGTGGGATGGGATAACTTCAAGACAAAAATGCGCTGCAGTAGCCAGCAACACTTCGCCGGAAACATAAATTTCCTAGTCAGCAAACACTGCTATGGCATGTTAGAAACTAAAGTTGGGAGGATATGCCGCTGTTAATGTGCGCGATCAAACTCAACATGCTGTGAACACCAGTGTTCTGTGGTTTCGTTACCGGCGACCACGTTTGTTGCCATAGCAATGGCTAAAGATATCGGTGCGTCGTGCTACAGGGCCAGCGGGTGCATGCCGTTGTTACTTTGTCTAGTGAAACCCACCTTCCAAGCAAGCTCTGAAGTTGTGCTCTAAACCTGAACCCATCGCGGGAAAAAAGAGGACAGAGCTGTATGGTTCGGAAATTTCTCGGCCTTTCAACTCTTGCAGAATGCCGCTTAAGCCACCTTCACCGCAGTACGCCTGTGGTTTGGAAAAAGCTTTTGAACATTTGGAAGGGGGCTATTAATACTAGTCACGGTGACACAGCACAGTTTGTTCAGTTACTCGTACGTGTGTATGCCAGTTAATTGTCAGTACTGATAGGAACCCTGACGCATACCTGCCAAGTCTTCCGGATCGGCCAGGAGACACCCGGATTTTGACCGCTTTTTTTCGGTTGTACGGTTGTCATGAAAATCTCCCAGAAATCGAAATTCCTGTGCGTGATCTGGCCCCATTGGCAAAAAAGCAGCTCAATCCACTCCAGTCTTTTCGAACCTACGTCGTTTTATTATAAATGAATATAAGAGGCGTTCATGTAAACGTACCGTATAATCTAATAACTGTGGCAGATACGAATAACCATGGCAGATAATAAACTGTGGCAGACACGAATTCTTAAAATTTGCTAGCCAAATTTTACTGTGTTCATTGGGCCTCAATTCGAATGTTCCAAACACATTTCCTAATCGCGACGGGTGATACGAAATTTAGTACGGAAACCATCGAACGAAGGTTGATAGCAGCGTACTCAGAGCTAAGGAAGTATCCGTGCGACCGGCGCACACACTATCTTTTACAGTACATGCGATTGTCCTTGCCACAACCGCTGTGGACGAAACGGCAATCGCTCTTGACATGATTTTGTATGGTGATAGCGTAACTGACAGAACCCCGAAAGTGTGCGCTCAAGCAGTCAAAGCAACGCTGCTTTCCGCAAACTCTGCGTACAAAACTGCAGCAGAGGCTATTGTAGATGGCATAAAATGACTTAGTTTTAAAGGCGCTTGTGCAGCCAAGAACTTGGGGATTGTAAAATGAACTACGGTTTGCCGCAGCCACCACACACAAAACCGCGGTCGCAGCAACGCGATAGCGATCTACGAGCTCCAAATGCATGCAGCGGCAGGTTAAAGGCAGTAAATACATAAGAAATAAAAAACTTAGTTTCGCCGCAAGGGCGAAGCAATAAATGTGACAGCAAGAACTTGAAATGTAACGCTGAGAGCGGCAAGCAGATCGAAACGTGCAGCGCACGGCTCACACACAAATGACGCACGAAAGTGATACTCGCAGGACGTGAGCGAACTAGCAACGTTTACTGCTCAACACGTAACGCGCCGTTTAAATAAAAACGATGCACGATACGTAATCACAGGTACAGATGAGTACAATCTAACCGTTGTTATACCTCGCTGTGTATGAAAAGCGCGCTGTTTTCTCAAAAGGGGCCTGTGCAGAGACCAAAGTGGTCTTTGTGGGCCCGGCAACTAACGCTTTCGTTTGTTTCAGTTAAAGCCAAAGGCACACGATTCCCCCACCAAAGGATAAGCGTGCGCACATAAGCATCAACCCCCCCCCCCCCCCCTGCCATCCACGGGGAAAGTACACGTGAGAGATAAGCGCGCCGAGCGCGGACGACTTTTTTTTCTTTGAGTGTTCATATATATATAAATACGTATACATATACTGTGAAGGACGGCCGTGGTGGGGACAAGAAAAAAAAAATAAAACAGCCTGGACTGTCCATATAATTGCTATCACAATAAGAAGGGGCCATGCGTGTTTTGGCGTTCCTATAAAAAAAAATGTAGTAGTGAGCAAAGGCTTTGAGCCGCGCTTTTGCCGCAGCCAGCTGCACCATCCCGTCCGTTTACGTGTGTCCCAGGAAGACACACGCGAGTTGTTTTGACTGAAATAGATTCTGCTAGTTGTGTTGATGTTTTGAGACTCTCACCTTAGTGAAAAACTCTACCCTCGTGTGTTCGCCCACTCCTAGCCACTATGAGATCGCAACGCTGATGTTGGCACTTGCAATTGAGACCCCACTCCCACCGTTTTTTTTGTTTTTCAGGATGTTTTTTGTTTATATGTTCTTGTTTTATTTTGTGCCCTCCCCCCCTCCCGTTGCGGAAATCTCCCGGATTCAGAATTCTTGAACTTGGCAGGTATGCTGATGTCTCAAAAGTTACTGGCAAGGGTTTGGAGCAGTGTATGACATTTTTTCAGCCTTAAAAAAATTATACAAAACTGCTAGCCAGTTTTTTTTTTCTGCCTACTCCCCAGTTTTACATATCTCCCGAATCTCAAGGTCACCAGCGTAGCAGGTCCACATTTGAATTCTCAGAGCTTGTCAAAAAAGCTAGACAGGTGTGGCAAATGCTAATTTAGACTTTATCAGTGTTTAATAAAGGGGAAGAAGACAACAACCCGTTTGTAGCACGAAGCCACTAGAAAATCAATATTGACTTCTCAGAAAGAAAAGCCTTTTAGTTGACAAAAATTTGTCCGGATTCGTGGTTCAAACCCGGGACCAACGTCTATTTGGGATGGTCGCTCTGCCAATTGACCTAAGCAGGAAGTTAGCAATTGACAGCATAAGGGCGAATTCATTGACAACTCGTAACACATGAACACAAGTATGGCGCCACCTTGCGAAAACCCGCAAAGTGGCGGAAAGGTTAATAAAGGGAAAGAAGACAACTACCCGTTTGTACCACAAAGCCACAAGGAAATCCATATGGATTTCTCAGAAAGAAAAGCCTTTTAGTTGTTGAAAAATTCATCCTGGTCCGGGGTATGAATCCGGCACCAATGCTTATCTTGGGCGTTTGGCAAAGCGACTGCCCTGGATAGGCGTAGCTCTAAAGATTGCTCTTAATTCTATTTCGGCTGTTTCACCCCTGTGCATGCGTCATCTGAGAATGTCGAACTGGGGCGGTGTGGTGGTTTTGGAATGTTACAATTAATATTATTGTTTATTGATTGGAATGAATAGAACTCAGTGAGTTTATGTATGTTTTTGTGCTGATTTCAAATATGCAAATATTTTCCAATAGATACAACACACATTCTTTTTTGAATATTAATTATTTTATGTGCCTTTTAGGAAGCAACTTCTTTTTTTTTTTAACTGAAAAAGCTAGAAAGTTAATCAGCGTGTCACAATAATCTGGAATCACAATTGTGCGCAGTGCACCAAAAATGGATGCTCTATCTTTATTTGCGCTAAAGTTATACCACATTGAATTTTGGTGTGACTCAATTCAAGCTGGGATTTTTCTCGTGAATGTTCAACATATCATAACTCTTGTTCTCAAGGGTTCTGAACATTGTGGTGCGCCCACCACCATTTCACCGGCTATTCCGCTGTACGGCCGCTCCTTTTCCGTGCTCTGGTAATAGCGGGTGGCTATAGATGGCGCCACGCTCAGGCGCAGCGCCTGTTCTTGGGGGCGACAAAATTCAGTGAGGCCAAGTCACGTGCGCGTCAGGAAGGATCTCTTCTCTATTGGCCCTCGCCTGGTAAGCACGTGGTTTTCTTTTGTCCGCGTCCCCTTTGGGAATCGCGGGATTGTAGCCTGCCTGAGGGCCTAAGCATCCCCGGGGGGCGTGTTTACCTGAGTGTTAGCTTCGGTATAGTACGCTAAGCCAAACAGTGGTGCTTAGTGCTTGAAGTGGTCATACCACGTCAAGCCCCACTTACCGGAGGCCTATGCGTATGAGGTATGCCCCAATTCTCACGACCAGGTCCAGTGGCCATCCTGAGAGTGCGCAGCATAGTCGCAAGGGACCTTTTTCCGACCGGGGTGTCAAAGCTCGCCATTGCCAACTGCGATGGGCTCGCGGTCTCCCCTTTATTTTAAATGACCGCGTGTGGGAGCCTTTTCTCCCCGCATCCCGGGAGCGGACGTTGTACTGTTGTTTGGAGGGCCACCAAAGGCAATAAAGTGTTGGTGTGTTGCTGTCAATCGAACACTGTCTGTTCTGCTGTGTCGCTCTAAACGCTTTGTTAGTCTAGCGCGCGCGAAACGGTGTGCTACATGTGAGCAGGTGACGGAGACGTGACCTTGTGGCTCGCTAAGCTTCAACTCGCCGTGATCTTCTGTCACAGTGAGTCACGAGATCACCACACTATCGCCCTATGCGGTATCAAAGGATCATTAAGCCTTTGATTAGACTTAGCCAAGTCAGCCCGCTTTTGCGAATCTGGCTCACCGTGTTATCCGCATTATGTCTGCTGCGTACGAGTTTTGTTTGCTGACGCTTCTAGCAGATACCGCATTGCTCGAGAAGAGGGCCAGTGCCCCTCTTGAGCATCACAATCCAGCGCCCTCACCCGTCACAAGCTGAAGTCGGGATGGCGTGAGGTGCTACGTAATAGCTCGCACTGGAGAGGTAGCGTGTTTTGGGTCCGGCTCCATAGCCCAACCCGAACAGTGCGCACAGGCTAATTGGACTGCCACTGCTCCCTTTAGAATGCATGGCAGCTCCATGTCACAGCACTCCCAATCGGCTCCCAGTAGAGCTTCCGGGGCGCAGTTTGGAAACGAGGCTTCAGCCTGTGCCGAATTTCGCCCGCTGGCTGCTACGCAACCTAGCAGCCAGGCTCACTTAATGCACGCGCCTATGCCGCGAGCTGCCCGTCATGCATACGCCTGTGCCGCAAGCGGCCTTACAATTTCACGTGAAGCTGCCCCAAGAGGCAGCTGTGAATGGAAACAGGCGCCTCCCGACGACAATGGCGCAACGGCCGTTATTCTTTTTGTAACTGCGCTACTTATCGAGCTGAGAGACAGTTCCCCATCGCTCGCCCGCACTGCTAATGCACCAAGTGTTTACTTTGAAGAGGGCGCACAGACGGTGCCGAAAAATTCCGCCCAAATGATTCAGGCACTCACGGGGGCAATCCAAATGCTTTCGACATTCTGAAACGCCCTCATCCCGCTGTCATGTTGGCCGTTCCTACCTACAGCAGGTATAGTGATCTGCAAAGTGTAAGAGATTACCTGGACTCCCTCGCACGTTATCAGAGAGTCATGGGTCTTGACGACCAGGAAGTGCTCGAATGCGTAGTCCCGGCTGCACTGACTGACACGGCGCCTAGGTGGTATTGACTTTTCAGCAACCGAGCAGCAAGACTTGATGAGTTCCGCGCGACCTTCCTGTGCGAATTTTTACCCGCTGACTACGAGAGTAGGATACAGTGCGAGCTCGAGCTCCGCACACAATCTCCTGATGAGTTTCTTCAGGAGTACACACGCACGGTGGAGGACCTTTTCTCTATTGCTGAGCCCAGAGCCTCGAACGAGGAGCGCGTCAAGCGGGTAATCAGGCAGGCACGCCCGACCTTTTCGGCGTGCCTGTGCAGCAGTCGCTTTCGTGATTTGGAGGAGTTGGCCATCGAGGCAAAGCGCATTCAAGGTGAAATTCTCGCCGCACGCACCTATTGCCTGCCACCGTCATCCAGCGAGGCCCTTGAACTGCGCTGCGCGTGGGTAGAGGCCATGTTCTTTCCCCACCCAACGGCAACAGCCTGGTAGAGCAGTCTTTGCGGCTACCGTTGCAGGCGGGCGCATTTAGGAGATAAGCGATCGGGCTTTAGATCCTTACACGTACAGAAGGCGCACAGTCTGGGACGCATCGCAACTCAACACGCGCGAACAGGGACGAAATCTGACCCAGCGCATCACCGGTGGTGACGTTCGTTAAAGCGGTTCTTTTGATCATGCGGCGAATCGACCCCTGCAGCTTGAAGCTGCTCTCTCTCGGGAAAGGGACCGCTAGGGAGTGCCCTGCTTCCGCTGCCGTCAATGAGGGCACATAGCAAGGGAGTCCACCGTATTTATGCCTCCTTTGAGGCAGAAAAACAAGAGCACGGGCCATTCATAAAGGCACGCTCGGCCGAACCCTTGCTTATTACCTCTGCGTACCGGGCAAGCAGTCTTGCTGGCGCACACACGGTGTTTATTTTGGTCACCAATGCCGGCCGCGAATTCTCGGCGCTGCTGGACACTGGCACAAGCGCTTTGTTGCTTAGCAAATCGGTGTTGTCCCACTTGCAGAAACATTCGGTGTGCTTGTTGTATAGCCGAACGACATTCCCTCTTGCGAAAGGTGTGGCCCTGTCGGCGGGAACCGCGAGGTTGACTGTGAGATGGGGAGGCCGAATGAGATGCACGCGTTTCGTTCATCTTCCAGGGCTCAGTGTTCCTCGGATTTTTGGTCGTGACTTTCTCCTAAGAACCGGTATTCTAGTGGACATTGCGAATGGGGGAGGCTATTGCGATAGATCTTTTTTTGAGCTAGAGCCGTTTATCAGCCCACCAGTGTTTTTGTTGCCTGTGCAGTAGATACGTTGAAACCGTGTTGCGTGCAAACTTTGGGGACAGGCCCCTGCACTATGCACTCGTCGACTCCGAGCGACACGACACGTAGAGGCTCCGCATCGTTTGATCGCCTGTGCGACTTAGTTGGATGATGGAAAGAAGGCTCCTCTGTCGGCACTGTTATGTGAAATCGATAAGCTCTTCACGGATCAACCAGGCTGTACCAATTTGGGGAGCCATTCGATCGAAACGGGTGACGCGCTTCTTTTAAAGTGTAACCCCAGGCCTGTCAGCCTGGCCAAGAGGCAGGTAATTGACGGCTTGCTGGACAAAATGCTCTCAGCTGGCATTGTTCGCTGTTCGTCCAGCACCTGTGCGTCTCCAATTGTGTTGGTGCCTAAGAAAGATGACAGTCATCGTCTGTGCAGAGACTACCGCTGTCTGAATGGAGTGACTCTTAAGGATGCCTACCCGCTCGCCACGATCAGCTCCATGGTAGGAATCTTCAGCACTGCGCAGTACTTCACCACATTAGATGCCTCCAAACCTACAGGTCCGGATGAATGAGCGTGACCTGTGCAAGACCGTGTTCACCTTCCACAGAGGGTTATTTGAGTTAACTCATATGCCCTTTGGTGTTTGCAATGCTCCTGCAACTTTTCAGACTCATGGACCGCGTCCTCAAGGAAGCAAAGTGGTCTTACTGCATGTGCTACCTTGACGACATCGTGATTTATTCACGAGCATTCGAAGAACGCTTGGCCCACATTGCCGGTGTGCTTGAAAGGGGGTGAGCCACCGGGATCAGGTTAAATTCCACGAAGGCTCAACTAGTGCAGACCTGAGTTCAGTTACTTGGCTTTACGCTGGGCGAAGGCTCCATTGAGCGAGGCCAGGAGAAACTTCGAGCAACCCTCGATTTCCTTGCGCTCAAGGACGCACGCGACCTGCGCCACTTTCTCGGAATGGCCAATTTTTACCAGTTGTTCATTCCGTGAGGTGCCCGAGTGCAGGCACCCTTGACCAAATGCTTGGGTAAATCGGCTGAGTGGCAATGGAGACCTGAGCAGTAAGAGGCGTTTAGCTGTTTAACCGGTAGACTGTTCTGCTTACGCCTCAATACTTCGGGACAGGCTTTGCCGAGCTCTCAGTAGAGTAAAGCAGAGTTTGGCAGCAGCCAAGGCTGAGCAGAAGGCATAGTACAACCGGAAACATTGCCACCTTTCATTTAAGGTCGGTGATCTTGTCCTAAACCGCAACCACGCTCCGCAACCACCCAGTGGAGAGAACTTGAACTCCGCTCGCGTACTTGCTGCAAGATCCTTTTTCGGGAAAACTCAGCTGTGCCCACACCACATCGCAGATATGAAAACCTTTGCGTCGAGACCTGACAAGTCTGCTCCAGTGCCCAGTGGCACTTCGTGCAAGCAACAATTCACACCCGGTGAACATAGATTTTAAGAATAATCATAGAATCTAAGAATAATCACTTAGATTTGAGTACAAGGGCCTATACTTTTAGATTTGAGTACAAGGGCCTATACTGTTTCATTTCACCTCATCAGAATGCAGCTGTCATAGCAGGAATCAAACCTGCGGCCTTGTACTCGCTAATCATCACGACATGTACAAAAGCTTTTCTTTTTGCAATTAAGTGCAGCCACTTAAAGAAAATACAAAAAATTTATTCACCATGTGAATTAAACCTGATACATCACAGGCTCAATTATTTAGTGCAGTCTTATGCTTCCTCGTAAGTACAGATAGTTGAATTTTTTTTTTGTGTGTGGCAGTGACAGACTCGCATAGCTAACAAATGTACTGTTTTAAACAAAATATGTGATAAAGGGAAAATTACTGGGGATAAAGGTGCATCTTTTCATTATGAAATATTTGATTCACATTTGAAACTATGTATTCGATTTGTATTTGAAAAATTTGATATTCACACACCCCTAGTTAAAAATTTGCAGGAGCTCAACAAACTTGTATGGGCTCATCCAGTGGCTTAGAAACAAGCTGTAGGTATTGTAACTGATGGTCCTGGCTTTTTGCCTAGCGTGCCCACTTTGTTGTGTCTTTGCAAATATGGCAGTACTATTTACTGTGCTGTGGCTTCATTTTTGAACGTAATATTGTAGAGGAAAGCTGCTTTGATTAGTATTGGCCTTCCGTCACTGTGTAGTGCTTATGTGGCCATTGGATAAGGTTGCGGCAGGATACTTAATTTCCCATTTCTCTCTCTTTTTTAATGCGAATGCCATTATTGTCATGCTCCTCGGTTCACACTTATGCCATTGTGAACTTTGTGTTCAGCTTGTTGAATAATTAATGCTGTGAACTATTGGAATGATTTGAGTAATTGATTAGCCTGCATTATTGTTTTGCTATTCATTCTTTCATTTACGTTGCCATTTAACTGTGACGGATGCGTGCCCCTTTCCAGGTGACAGTACTACATTCAATGCAGGCTGGCTATATGGACAAAGCGCACAAATACACTGATAAGGCTCTTATGCAAATCGAGAAGCTTAAAAGTGAGTACGGCTTACCGTACTTGTACAGTACTAATAAAGGAGTAATTTAGAATTCAGCAGTGTGTACACTGTATGCTTGCTTGCATTCCTGAGGCCCAGTGACAAAATAAAAGGAAGAACGAAAAAAAAATTAGAGCAATAATAAGTATTGTGACATATAGCTTATGGTACGGTTCCTTATAATCATACATTCTACATTTTAATGTTTCAACTGATTTTCTGGTACTTCTAAGCATTTAGAAACCTTATATTTATTCACAACTCTCAATAAGCCTGTTTTGATAACTTTTGCGCTTTGTATGAAATCATGAGATGGGTTCAAAAAAAGAGAAGTTGATGATTCTTGTTTGTGTAAGTTCATTACAAACGTTGCACTTTTCTTTTTCAGGTATATAAAATAAGTATTTGAGGTCAATCAGCTCCTTCAAACTGCTTCGTAACTTATTTATGCTTGTGTTTATTTGGTGCGAGTGTTTAAAAGAAGAAAAAATTTCTCATTTGATGTAGAATGCCTGCAATAAGATTGGCCGATTGTAAGGTTATTGCCATTCCCAGATTTATTCTAGACCTACTTTTGACGTGGTTTATTATTATCATTTGTTCAGTCTAGTTTCTTTTACTGTATTTGAAGGGTTTTTCACACATACAAAGAGCGTTGCATCTCAAATTGTTTTTGGAAAAGTGAAAATTTTTATCTCACTTTTCAAAGAATGTGCATGATGGAATGCTATAGTGCTGAACTAACTTATTTTTAACAAGTGGGTAGAAGGTCAATTTGAACAGGCATTCGCCTGGAAGAATTTTTGCAATAATACGGTGTCATGTACATTGTGCTCAGTTGTTACAAAAGATGCTGAAGCTTTGCTTCTTGTATGTGCAAAACACCGTTTTCACTGCGCTTTGGTACATTTGATATCATGTCTAGTTGTCGACAGCAACCCAATCCTGCACTCATTCCAATTGCTGCTCCTGGAACACATTGCCATGTGCCGCTTGGTCATGGGAAATAAGACACTCGCCATTCAGGAGGTGCGTTCTGTTCTCTTTCCAATAATTTCTTTGTTTTTTCATCAGGATGCTGTACAAGTGCCTTCAATCATGTATCTGATATGCTCAAACCCAGTCAACCTTTCGTTTTGAAAAAAATGAACTGAATTTATTGATAACCGAGCTTGTTGCACCTGAATGTCACTTACAGGCCTCGCAGGCTCTGCAGATCTGTCGTCAAGAGCCACGTCTGTTTTCCCGTCACAAACCTCAGCTGCATACACTTCTGGTGAGAAATTTTCTTAGCTGCTCCATCAAAAAAAAAAAAAAAAAACGTAGTTTACTCATGATATTATGTTAGCACAAAACTAGTTGGTCCCACATGTCTAAATAACAGTATGAATTGGTATCATCCCTTAACATTTGCACGAAATTTGGCTCTCCTTTAGCTCACAAAGCACGTAAGTAAAGCATGCATGGATTAAGTTAAGTGACATTTCGATTAAATAGGCTGGCATTTGTATTCATTTCAGTAGGGTGATTCCACGAGAGATCGACACGGGTCCAAAAGTTGATATTTTAGATTTCATTTAGTATTTTATATTTCGTGCACCTCCCACCAGGTAGCCCGAAAGTCAACTTCGTTTTATGATTAACGGCATAACTTATGAAAAAAAAAAAAATCAAACTTCACCAACACGGAGGCACCAATTTCGTCACCTGTCATTTTCGAAAATTGCAGATGCTATAAAAAGACAAATATTTTTGTTTCAAGGAAGATATTTTTTATTTGAAATGCATGTCTAATGAAGAATGAATTCATATGGTTTCAAGTTTGTAGATCTTAAAAAAAATAGCTTTTAAAAATGTATAATTTTGCGACAGTTTAAAATAAGTTACGTATTCCCCATTTTTTTTTTCTTCGAAAGTAATGCAAGCAGCGTTTTCAAACTTGACACTTGATAAATGATTCGTAACAAGTTTTTATCATTTGGGGCACGAAGACTGCCGTATTAGACTGAAGAACACGCTTTAGGGCAAGTTGTCCTCCGTCGTCTGCTCTACAGATGAATTGCTGTGCGCCGCATCTCGGAAGCAATGCTTTAGATCATATGGTTCAAAGTACGGACAAAGATTATGCCTCCTGTAATTTTATCGACAAAAACATTGTGAAATTCATTTTAACGTACTATACTTCAGTTTTGCATTCGCACTGTGGATATTTGCATTCGCACTGTGGATACTTTATGAACTCGTTCAACATTCAATTCTCTTACCCAACGTGTTGCAAACACGTGGCCGTCACAGCAGCTCCATCTGTGTGTCAGTAATGGAGAGGCACCACATATTAGAAGTCTCAGTGCTCTGCGTATAAGAGTGAATTCAGATACTGTAGAATACCGTGTTCAAAATAGTTACTCCTATCTGCTAAAACAGCTGTTCTTCACCAAATGCGGTCACGTTTACTCACGTTTGAAGCTTATTGCCGCTTTTCCATTCACATTTCTAGATTTCTCAACTTATCAGCGCATTCTCGAAAAGCTCTGATTTGTACCACGAGTATTGTCGCTAAAAACAAAATAATGCAACATGTTTTTCTATATTACTGTATAATGGCCTTCGGCTGTTCATTTACGAGATTTTAAGAAAAATCGAAGATGGTGTTTTTTTATTATTCAAATTTCAGTGGAGTACACTTTTGCCAATATGAGAACTTTGAAGCAATATATAAAAATTTACATTTCCCTACAGCAGCAATAATTTATGTACCTAATGAACACACTATATCCTTAAAACGTGTCGAGTTTGAAAACGCTGCTTGCATCACTTTCGGAGAAAAAAAATAGGGAATACGTAACTTATTTTAAACTGTCGCAAAATTAGACATTTTTAAAAGCTATTTTCTTAAGGCTCACAAACTTGAAACCGTATGAATTCATTTTTCATTAGACATGCATTTCAGGTAAAAAATATCTTCCTTGAAGCAAAAATATTTGTCTGTTTATAGCATCTGCAATTTTCGAAAATGACAGGTGACGAAATTGGTGCCTCCGTGTTGGTGAAGTTTGATATTTTTTTTTCCTAAGTTATGCCGTTAATCATAAAAGGAAGTTGACTTTCGGGCTACCTGGTGAGAGGTGCATGAAATATAAAATACTCAATGAAATCTAAAATATCAACTTATGGACCCGTGTCGATCTCTCGTGGAATCACCCAGTAATAATTAGATTAATTTCGGTGGCACTGTATTAAAGAGGTTTAGTGGGTGGATAGTGGAAAAAATGTGAAGTAAGAAATACTGATAGGTCTGTATAACATGCCATATCAGTTTTTGCACAGACGCTTAGGTGGCTGAGCAATAATAACAGCAAGTGTAAGCAAAGGGATCACAAAAATGATCGTTATTTTTGATCATGCAGGGCTTGTATGCCATGTCCATGAACTGCATGGAGGCTGCTGAAGCTCAATTCAACACAGTCCTTCGGGTGAGCTACTGGATCATAATGCACAAAAATAAAATAAAAATACAGAATTAAGTGTACGTTACTGTGTTAATTGCTGCCTTTCTGAGCAGTAGTTGTGCTGCGTATGCTGTCATTAAATTTCTGGTGAAGGGGCCCGGTACCCTTTTTTATGTAACCATCGAATATCTTCATTGAAGGAACTTTATTGCGTCACAAATTGACCTCTGCAAAAATTTTTCAATATATCTCGTACGAGCATAGCATAGTTACAAAATCTGTTGTACACCGTCGTGTTCCTTCTATATTCTCTTGTCCTGGCAAGCACGCTGTAAGTGGAGAGGAAGGGCATGGGAGAAAGAAGTTTCGTTACGCACCTTTAGCACTTCTTTTAAATGCGAAACATTTCTTTGCATATGGTAGACACTTTATTACGTATCTGTCCGTCCGTCCGTCTCAGACATTGGTAATTTAAATGTGAGAGTGCAAAAAAAGCAGACATCGGCAGCATTGACCCGACAAATGCAGATTATATGTATGGACCCAGTAGGAATAGAACCCAAGAATTCTGCATTACAGTCAAGCATTCTACCACATGACCACGCCAGGTCATGGAGCTCTTTTGGAAAAGGCTCCATACAGGCATAATGTTAGTGGGACATCAATTGTGGTTGTAATGCTGGGCTATCTAATTTCATATACATTACATATGTACTTCTGTAATACAGGCGTCACGTCGGGCTACCTTGGTTTGTATACTTCAGCGCCATCCACAGAATTTGGTCTACGTATGGCACTATCCAGGGTCCTCGCAAAGCACAGGCACTAAATTTCAACTTACTGCTTCTGGTGTTGGTAATACCCATGTTGTTCTTAAATTTGTTACCTAACTGTAAACAACTGGTTATGTAAACCATATGTGACTGTTAAACATACATGTCTGCACGTATAACATTTGTACGTATGTTTAGCGTCATTTTGTAATGTGTCGTTCAACAAAAAAAAGTCTACACCATAGTCCGCATGCTTCGCATCACATCGATTGCCATGCTACTTGGGATCTGCTGAATTTTTTCATCTTCAGGCGTGCAGTTTACTTTCAATGTGATTGCATGTGTGCAGCCAACTGGCGGTTTTTTGTGGCCGCCTCCGCAACTATGCAGCTCACAATGTTCAAATCGGCATCGGCCAATTATCATGAGTTTGGGTATGTGGCATCATTTATTGAAGCAAAAGAGAACTATTTCTGGCTGACTTTAAAAATTGTAATTCAAGGCCCCATATTGACTACAGTAAAACCTCGTTAAACCATAGTTGGCCGGAGCTCGGAAAAAGTACATACTAAATGGTAGTACTGCTTAACAGAAATAGCGTCAGGTCGCTCACTTACCTGTTAAAAAAAAAAACCTTCAGGCAGTGCAATGAAAGAACAAAAAACGTGCAGTAATTTATTAACTTTGCGTGACAGTCTGTAATCTTCATTTGACGACGCGGCGGCCTAGCAGCAACGACAGCGGCCTCAAACTCACTTATGCTGCGAACCAGCTTTTCCGCCAGCCCCCTCTTCTCGGCAAATACCCGCATGACGCTGACGCAATGCGCAGCTTCGGCCACTGTCGGACCTGGATCACCCGTGTTGTCGCTTTGCATGTCGTCCTCATCGCTATCATTTGGCGACACTTCGACAACCGAGGCAACAATGGCTTCGTCAGACATGTCCGGAGATGTCTGCACATCGCTGTCTGCGTCTCTGAAGTTGGGGAAGGAAATTCCTTCCGTAATGCCCTGCTGCTCCAGCACTTCAGCTAGCAGAGTTTTGCAAGCTTCGTCTACGATATCCGAAGTCTGGTCGATGGTGTCACTAGCGTCATCTGCGTCGCCCGCGCACACCCACTGAAGCCAGCACGCTTGAAACAATTTTGAACTGTCGTTACTTCAACCTGCCGCCAAAAGTATTCAAGCAGGTGAATCATGCCGGTCAGTTCGATGGAGAATAATTTGCCACATTCAATGGCCAGAAGAAATCTGCGCAGCAGATTCTTCTTGTAGAGCTTCTTGTAGAGCTGTTTTACAGCTCGAATGATGCCTTGGTCCAAGGGCTGGGCAATCGCTGATGTGTTTGGTGGCAGAAACGCCAACTTTACAGCCGTCAGGTTGTCCAGGGCGACGTGCACCGAAGCGTTGTCTAAAATAAGAACAACTTTTCCCTTCTTAGCCGCAAAGCGACGATCGATGAGGCGCACATACTCCTCAAAGAGTTTTGCCGTCATCCATGCTTTGGTGTTGCTGTGAAAGATGACTCGTGATGGCAATCGGGCACCTTTGAAACATCTAGGCTTCGCCAACTTTCCAATCACGAGGAGCGAAGCTTTGTCGGTTCCAGTCATGTTTACACAAAACGCCACTGATATTCTGTCTTTTGCATGCTTGCCACTGTTGCACGTCTCGCCTTTGAACGCCAGTGTTTTTTTTTCGTAGCAGCTTAAAGAATAGCGCCGATTCATTCATACTAAAGATGTCATCAAGTGCATAGTTTTCCAAGATGCTCTTCAGCTGACCATTTCGCCACTGCTCCGTGCCATCCAAGTCAGCAGCAGCACCTTCTCCCAAAACAGTCCTCGTGGTAATGCCGTGCCTCGCCTTAAATCTGGCCAGCCAGCCATTGCTGCACACGAAGTTGTCATGGTTAAGCTGCGAGGCAAAAACCAGACCCTTCTCCACGAGCAGGGGTCTGCTGATAGGCAGATTTTTCGACCGTGCAGCTTTTAGCCACATCACCAGTGCCTCCTCTATATTCAAAAATGCCGAACCACGTAGCCGGCACATTTTCACAGTTGCAGCAACACTGCTGAGCAACTTCTCTCTAGAATTCCAAATTCCACACACCGCAATCAACGGCTGGTCGTTTTCGTGAGCCAGCGCCGATTTTTTCGTGCCACTTTCAATAGCAGAAATTATGTCCAATTTCTCCTCTATTTTCAGCACTCAATGCTTTTGTCCCAGCTTTGGCATGACGCAACTACGAAGCAGCACAAGCACACATACACAACACGGGAAAAACGACACGAGAGCTGTACGGCACGGAACAACCAGAGAACACGTATGCACGGTGCCAAAGGAACAAAGAAAGCAAAGCAAGCGCTCACTGTGTTTGCGTGTTCGTGCAAAGTGCCATTGCATGGACAAAGCCTAGCCAACCGAATGCTTCAACACAGCCGCTACACTATCTGTGACCACCCGATTCAAAGGGGACAGCCACCTCTCATCATTACCATCAATACAAACAAGCGAGGGGTGTTTCGATCTCTGGGGCTTGTTGTTCTGTTAGGACGCCCAGTGGGGGATGACCAAGGAGGTTAAAGTAATATTTGCTGGAGTGGAAGAGGCAGCCCTCAGGTCAAGCCGCGCTCCGCCATCTTGCCATAGGCAGGAAGCGCGCCTTCCGCAATTCAAGCGACGGCAGCCGCACAGATGTTCCAAATGTTCGCCGGTGTTGTATAGCGTCCAGACATTGTAATGAATACATTGTGCCTCTCTTAAGGCTACATAGGTGAAGCGAAAAGGTTTTTTGGGATAATGTTTCAGTTGTATCATATTTCGAACTTGGTGAAAACTGTATGCCAGAACACATGCATGTTGACAGCTCTCAACCTGTATTCACATATCTCACGGCCTTTTTTTCCTAGCGGGTGTTTTAAGGACCAAAATGTTCAAAGCACTTCAGGGTGTGCTGTTAAACACTTGTGTCATTAGATGACGGGATGACTGGTAGCAAAAATACAGCGATCAAATATGTTAGAGACACTTGTCGAATTGTTACAACTGGACTGGACTGTGACTTGCAAGTTGACTTACTGGGCTAGATGCGTTTCCAAAACACCTGCAATGTCCACTGTACACATCCTTTCGCTTGTTGATACCACAAGAGTGGTAAGCGAGTAGAAAAATAACACGCCGTTAACTATTCGTTGAAAGGCATATCTGTCATTTCGTTTTTGATTACTAGCAGCGGCATAGCCAGAACAGCTCACTGTGCACGACACGGACGAATTGAGTGTGCTGTGAGCTATTGTAGATTTTCATCAACTAGCCTGGCCATACACCTTGCTGTCATAAATTATTTTTTTTTTTACATTCATGCCTTTTATTTTGTTATTTGAAGTGCAGTGAGCGAAAACCAGTGTCTGAACTGTGCAATGTTTGTGATGCAACTAACTGCAAAAAAAGCTATCATAACCGAAGGATACTCGTGTCGTTGTTTGTATTCAAGTTGAAGACGTGAGAGTTGCATCGACTACACGGCAGCTCTCACAAAAAAAAAAAAATGGTTTGTGTTTTCTAGGGGGAGCTAAAACAGCTCCAGAAGAAAATTCTACCACAGACAAATGGTTGTGAACCAAAAGAGCGAGGTTTTATCCTCAAGCTAAAATAAAAGGGATCAAGAATTAAAAACCAATTTCTGAGAGTAGGTGGCGAGGGGGGGGGGGAAGGGGGGCTTACTCCTCACTGCAGCTTTCCCACATACATCTTTTGATTCGATGATCATATCCTTTTGTACATGTGAAGCTTGGGACACCCACTTTTATATTCCACTAAATGAAAGTGTTCGAAATCTATTTATGCACCAGGTTTCGTTGCATGAAGAATAAAATAAAAAAAGAAAATGAATGCCGAGAAAGTTTTGTCAGTGTGCACGATTGCAAGGAAAACTCTTAAAGAAACAGAATAAGCTCGACTGTATTCTTGTTTGCCATTTGACATCTTATTCTTGACAATTTACCATGTAATGCCCTCCATAACCGTTAAAAACCACGGCGGAAAGAAGCGGCAAGTGCGCTTCGGCTACAGTGTCTTGCCTATGGCAAGATGGTCACCATGGATTCACTGCACCCCATTGGTATGTACAGGCGGCCTCCACTCCAGCAAGATTTATTTAAACCTCTTTGGGGATGCCTTGCCGTGGCGAGTGAGCAATGAAAATTGGAAACACTACTTATTAACCGATACATGCGTGATAAGCTGGTGCGGTTTATGCGGATACAAAATGCATTATGTTCAATGGGCGCCGAGTCGGGGATTTGGCTTTGCTACTTTTAAAACGAAACTACTGTTTAAGCGGGTACGGTTTAACGAGGTTTCACTGTATAATCTTTAGCTCATGTGTTCTGAGGAGCATCGACCACTAATAGGCAGTGCTGTTTTCTCTGACCACGCCGAAAGAGTGTTGTAGAACCCTTTAAAGAGACACACGCCTGGCCAGAAAGAGTGATTAGATCCCAGAATAAATGAAAAGAACTATCAAGTATAGTCGCAGACTAGCATTTTTTTCGCATTGTCAGTAGGATTTATGTTTTTAAATTGTACCTAAAGGTAACAAAAACTTAAGCCCCTGAACAAAATGAAAAAAACAACAACTCCTCTCTCCTACTCCTGTGCCGGCATTCGCAATCCCTTTTTTCGATCATGATTCCACTTACGCGGTGCATAGCTAGCAGACGCTCTCCGCGTCTAACGCTGTTGCCGCGAAGCGCTCGCACTCGTCAGCTGGTATTTCGGTGAGATTTTTTTCATGTGAAGTTATTACTGACTGCCGAAACACAACGAGAAGACGTCGACTGATGGACAGATTGAAAAACTTTATTAGTAAGTAAGTTTGGACCCCCTCAGGTCCTTGGACGACCGCGTGGTCTCATGCCACGTCTACACGGCCATGCATGATTTTCACCCAAATGGCATTGGCAGCCCGAGTCACAGCAGCAAGCTGCAATGCCGGGTTAGAGGACATAGAAATGTTGCGCTTGGGTGGCGGCGAAAAACAACCGCGCGTCACGGTGGCCTTTGTCAGACTGCTGACGGCTGTAGATATATATAGGCGGGATGACGCGCGGGTAAAAAAATTCGAAGCAACTGGTTCTGTGAAGAAAATCCGGATCTATTAGTCAAAGAACGTGGCAATAGCACACCAGCACCTGAAGTTGAAAACGCACGCCGCATTCTCCGCACACAAAAAATGCCACATGCGGTGGACGTCCGCAATGCCGTGAAACGTGCCTTGCGCGCAAGCCGAGAAGCGTCTCCAAGGATCCTACACAGTGCTTAACAGAAACGCATTTGAAAACTACTTCATGGAAGTTGTGGACGAATATTACAAATAAAACAAAAAAATTAATATGCGGCCCTTAGAAGGACAAAAACCTAGCGATGTTATCGAAATGCGAAGAGACACCCGCGTACCTTACAGAGTCGACACGGTTTGAAGTCGTCCCAGCAGATTCTATACAGCTAGATCTACCATCGTGGCGCATCTCACTTCTCAAACATAATCCAAAAGTAGCTTGCCGTCAGTTTAACATTTGCAGTAACCGCAAGCGCGCCACCAAATGGGAATCGCAAACACATACAGACAGAAACCACGCAGCAGAATTCTGAAAAACAGATGCAAAACATGCTGTAAACATGCGGAGCTTGTCGTGTTGGGCACCGCTGTGGAGCTTGAGCCCAAGAAAAACTTAAAAAAAAAGCGAGAAAATGCACACTAGGGGCACGTGATGGCGTTCGGCCAATGGGAGCACTGAGCGTTGGGGGAAAGCACAAGAGAAGAGGACGGGAGAAAATAACACTAGAGGCTGTTACTTTTATTTTATTCAGGGGCTTTAACAAAAACCATCATGTGACACTGCCTAGCGAAAGAGAATTGAAGATGGTTTCTGAAATATGGAGTAGATCACTTTCCTGCACCTAGTCGCAAAGCCTAGGCCTGTCAGGCGGGCCATTCCTCAAAATTAGAGTATGTATATAACATTATTCAGCCCCGCTCAGTTCTGCACTGCTTACGACGTAAAAGGAGTTGCACGGTGAGAAGCAACACTGCCGTTGCGGCCGCCGCTGAACCATGTTGGGCCGTGTCACATGCACGCGAAGTGCACATAAGCGCCGTAAACCATCGTGCACGAACACGAACTGCCTACACACTCACTGTTTGCAACATGAAAGTATAAGACTTTATATTCGCTTCAGACAGAGAAACTCTACTAATGTCTTGTGGCATTTCTCACTCTGGAATTTCATGATTAGACTGACTGACCGGTAAGCTTTCCATTCCGCTAAAAAAATGTCACCATGAAAATTGTTTGTCGGTCCCTCTAAGTGAGAGCGCTGCTATTGCTTTGCAAATTTGTCTTGTCTCGTCATACTTTAGGCTGAAATGAATGAACGGGTGTTCTGTGACATATCTCCTTTGTGTTTCTGAGGACTTGATATGTATGCGCTTGTTGGTACAAAAGCGAAAAATTCAAAGTACTTCATGTTCTTTTTTATCGACTAGTATTGAAATTTTTTGGCTTTGCTGTGCTTGACTCAATTGTTGATACTGCTGTGCATTCATGTGCAGAGCATGGCATCACCAGAGCTACGAATCCTGGCCAGCCTTAACTTGGTTATTGTGTACCTGCGGTGCCATCGAGAAAAGGAGCTACAGGAGCTGCTTGTTCGACTTAATCCAGAGACTCTACCTTCAGCGTTAGTTTATCAAACTTTTAAACTTCATGTTGCTTCAGCAATCATTACCTGCATTTGTGTTTCATGCACATTCAGCAAACGAGGTGAAATAGCCATTAAGTTGTGTGATCTTGCATACCTTAAATAATAGTAAAATCTCAATGTAACATACCTCAATGGAATGCAAAAAATGATTTATTTTTTTGTGTCATTGTATTATGAAAATATTAAATATTTGCGTGAAAATTATAAATGAAACCACATGAGTCTCCCATCTATTCTGGGTATTGATCCGTGATCACATTATCCTTTAATAAGCAACAAAAAAAAAAAAAAACAAGCTAGCACGAAATGTTATGGAAAGAGCGCATGTTTATTTGAGGAAGAACACAGCCAATAATTTCATCAATAATTGCTACTGGTCACGAACCTTTAGGCCAAGCTTATTATAGGTACAGGACCACTGCAGACAGGTGGCCTTCATTGCAGCCGCTAAACCGGCGTGTTTTTTGGTGCGTTACGAGGTTTCCATGGCAGGAGACTTGCTCTGGTGGCTTCACAGACATACTTAAGAGGGGTTTCATATTTTAACGAAAGAGCGTTAGAGAGCTCGTGTCACAGAAATTCTGCCGTCGGCGTCGGCACTGTTGGTTGTGAGCGAAAAATCGTCCGTGAGCGAAAAACCGAGAAAGAAGCAAATAAAATGAAAAATAAAATTTTCAGTCTCATTGATAATCGAACCCGGGCTGATCGCGTGGCAAGCAGGTGTCTTACCACAAAGCCACGATGATGCTTGCAGCTGCTTCGGCAAAAAACACTGCATAAATGCCATGTAGGGGAGGGAGTCTCCCTAACGCATTTTGTTTGACAGGTGTCGCGACGAAAACGAGCCCATTCGGCGATTTGTAGGCAAATTTAGGAGGCCATCAAACTACGTCGAAAAAGGCCGGGATAGTGCAGCCATCACGCTAAAAACCCACAAGGAACTTTCAAACAGCTCTAAAAATGGACAACCATGTCCATCTAGTGTAAAACATATCATCCCTTTCCAGAGGCGTTGATCAAGCTAATAGCAAACCCTAGATAATGTGCTGCCATCTGTGAGGTATTGTGAGACTTTTTATGCCCCTTCAAGGAAATGCCATTTCAACAAACCACAACACTTGCATAGATTTCGCTTTTCATTCTCATGACACCATTAAAGAAGTGAAGTACTGACTGCAGTTGCCATTTGACCGACCATAAGACGATGCTTGTTGCGGTTGGCCGGAAGAGGTCTCCAGAAGAACAAGTCGAATGATAACTAACGCAAGAGCGACGACAGAATGTGACCATTTAGGAATACAAGTGTCACGCCTACGTGCAGTTTATAATATAGGACCATGTGACTATATCACTGTACAATATTTTTAATAAGTTGTTATAAAAGGGCCGTTAAATTGATAAAAAACCTGGACAATTACTATACGTTGCGCTTTCGTACGCGCACTTTTGCGTGTGTGTGACAAAATATAATAAGTAAGCACTTGGCATTTGAAGGACGCACTAGGGGCCGGACTTCGCTTTCACATTGAACCCTCACAGGCGAAGCTTAAAAATCCCTAAATTTCTGGTCTCCCATTGCTACAGGCAGTGTACCTGCTCGCAGCAGTTTCGTTCGTGATTAAATTGGCATGCAGCTCTGAAAAGGACACCCATTTAGCATACATTGTAAGGTCATGCCTTTTCGATGAATTTAATTTCTCAAAATCAGTCGACATCGCCAAAAAAATGTACTGAGGTGCGCAAATTACACGATGATGCTTTTTTGTGATGACGTATTCATGCTTTGAAGAACACTTAACTGGAAGTCTTCAATATATATATGACTGATTTAAAGCTACTACGTGGTACATCGTGGTGTGGCACCGATCATCGGCTTAGAAAGTATGGCACTAGGGGAAAAATTGTAGATTGACCACACGTCGCTGGTTCTCTGTGTCGGGCAGACTACATGTACAGTCAAACCCAGATATAATCGTAGTGACAAATTCATGAAAAATTCTTTATAACCAGGATTTCGTTACAGTTGTCAATAAATTTTTTGGACAACGAAAATGTGGATTTGTTGGATATTTTGGACTTCACAAATGCACCGTCGAGGTTCCCATTGCACTAATGCATTTTCGCTACCAATTTTTTGGATGAATTTATGTTTTGAAGTTCAATTTTCTGGACTAAATCGTTTGTTTTGAGCTATGCCGATCGATTTTGAAAGCCCCCATATTGGATTTTTTGTTGACTTGGTCGAGTTTAGCTTGTACTGGCTAGTTGTGTGGTCTCCAAGATTGGAAGCGTGCACTATCTTCTAGTTTTGAAGGCTATGTATTATTTTTCTAGTTTTGGAGGCTATGTATGAAAAATGAGCTGATAGCTGATTTTTCTTGGTCTAGTGAGCGTTTTTAAACGTAAATACAACGTTGCATGCTGCATCATTGTCTAGCCGTGACCTAGGAGATTGGCTCTGGCAACGTGCCGCTACGTTACTGGAGCTAATCGCGAATTCTACAGTCTAGTGAACCCCTTGTGGCATAGCACAAGTCCGCTAAGTAAGTGACCCCCTAACATCTGTTATTATCACTGTTGTCTGAGACAGTTTTCACCAGCACCTAATCTTGCGTCTCGGTAGTGACAACACAATTGTCCGCATAAAAAAAAAAATTTCAATGCTGAATGTTGTTGGGAGCCACTCCATGCACGTACTGTGAAACCACGCACGCGATCGCCGTGCAGAAAATTAAGAGCGAGTGAGAAGGATATCATGGAATAGCGCGAACTCGAGTGTAAAAAGTAAGGACGAGGAGCAAGACCCCGGACATGTTCAAGGAGAAGCAATGTGACATCTTAGGGGACCTGACCAGCCACCACGCAACTGCACGACAGGAGCTCGCTACCAGTGTCCAGTCGCCAACTGAATCGTATGTGTCGTACATACAAGAAGTTCCCGTTTTTTACCGGAAAGCGGACAAGGCAATGTCTTAAGCCGAGAAGGTTAATCACGTTTTAAAAGGAATAGCGGATGACGCTTTCAATTTGCTGGACTACACCAACGTCTTGTGTATCGACCGTATCATTCGAGAATGCCGCCGTTTCGAAATGGCAAAAAATCGTCATGTGCGCCTTCCTTTTTCTAAATTGCCAAACACAGCGGCTACATCCACCTGCTGCGATTTCACCGCCACACAGCCCTTGAGCAGAGTGTCATGCATATCGTTCGACGGGAACTTAAAGCAGCAAGTCCAGCGCGGCTTCAGCCCTCTCTTTTAGAGCATGCTACCATACCAACAACCCCCGCGGTCTGTGTTATTCAGGCTGTCGTATGACAAGAATTCGCCAGCCCTGGTTCTCTGTTGCCTGCCCTGTCTCTCGCTCCTCCTTCAGACCAATGTCGATCAATGCATCTCGACGTGAACCATTAGTAACTCCACGATCTCGCAATGCTACGGAATGGCTAACTTCCAACGACAAACCGATTTGCTTCTAGTGCCACCGCGTTGGACATGTCTCCCGCTACTTCCGTGCCACATGTACAGTCAAACCCAGATATAATCGTAGTGACAAATTCATGAAAAATTCTTTATAACCAGGATTTCGTTACAGTTGTCAATAAATTTTTTGGACAACGAAAATGTGGATTTGTTGGATATTTTGGACTTCAACAAATGCACCGTCGAGGTTCCCATTGCACTAATGCATTTTCGCTACCAATTTTTTGGATGAATTTATGTTTTGAAGTTCAATTTTCTGGACTAAATCGTTTGTTTTGAGCTATGCCGATCGATTTTGAAAGCCCCCATATTGGATTTTTTGTTGACTTGGTCGAGTTTAGCTTGTACTGGCTAGTTGTGTGGTCTCCAAGATTGGAAGCGTGCACTATCTTCTAGTTTTGAAGGCTATGTATTATTTTCTAGTTTTGGAGGCTATGTATGAAAAATGAGCTGATAGCTGATTTTTCTTGGTCTAGTGAGCGTTTTTAAACGTAAATACAACGTTGCATGCTGCATCATTGTCTAGCCGTGACCTAGGAGATTGGCTCTGGCAACGTGCCGCTACGTTACTGGAGCTAATCGCGAATTCTACAGTCTAGTGAACCCCTTGTGGCATAGCACAAGTCCGCTAAGTAAGTGACCCCCTAACATCTGTTATTATCACTGTTGTCTGAGACAGTTTTCACCAGCACCTAATCTTGCGTCTCGGTAGTGACAACACAATTGTCCGCATAAAAAAAAAAAATTTCAATGCTGAATGTTGTTGGGAGCCACTCCATGCACGTACTGTGAAACCACGCACGCGATCGCCGTGCAGAAAATTAAGAGCGAGTGAGAAGGATATCATGGAATAGCGCGAACTCGAGTGTAAAAAGTAAGGACGAGGAGCAAGACCCCGGACATGTTCAAGGAGAAGCAATGTGACATCTTAGGGGACCTGACCAGCCACCACGCAACTGCACGACAGGAGCTCGCTACCAGTGTCCAGTCGCCAACTGAATCGTATGTGTCGTACATACAAGAAGTTCCCGTTTTTTACCGGGAAAGCGGACAAGGCAATGTCTTAAGCCGAGAAGGTTAATCACGTTTTAAAAGGAATAGCGGATGACGCTTTCAATTTGCTGGACTACACCAACGTCTTGTGTATCGACCGTATCATTCGAGAATGCCGCCGTTTCGAAATGGCAAAAAATCGTCATGTGCGCCTTCCTTTTTCTAAATTGCCAAACACAGCGGCTACATCCACCTGCTGCGATTTCACCGCCACACAGCCCTTTGAGCAGAGTGTCATGCATATCGTTCGACGGGAACTTAAAGCAGCAAGTCCAGCGCGGCTTCAGCCCTCTCTTTTAGAGCATGCTACCATACCAACAACCCCCGCGGTCTGTGTTATTCAGGCTGTCGTATGACAAGAATTCGCCAGCCTCTGGTTCTCTGTTGCCTGCCCTGTCTCTCGCTCCTCCTTCAGACCAATGTCGATCAATGCATCTCGAC